GATTGGACATGAAACAAATTTGTAATAGGGTGCTTTCATTTGTTATGTCAATTTTGTAGTGCATTTAAAGAATCCATAGAAATGCACATGTCACACCCCTGTTTCATCAAGAAAAGGTAAAGAGTTTATGTAAAATCAGAACTTGGTTATAACATGTTTTGATTATTAAAATAAGAGTTGGGAAGTGGAAGAAGGTATTCGGACATCTGATTTTGTTTTGAAAGTAAGAAAACAGTACTATGTTGAATTGGAACTGACTGGTGCTGAAGTCTGCTGGAGGACTTGATCACCATGCATAAATAAAAATACCTCTCCTATATATTTACTTATTAAGTAAAGAAGTATACATATCTTCATATCAAAGATAAGATTGTGTGATTTGGGCAAGCATGCCATACATTTATTTGGGCAAGAATTTACATTTCTTATTGCTTTCAGCCTTTCACAAGGGGTTACACAAGCATCATTCCAGAATGAAGAGAAGGTCATTGCGCGTAACTTAGAAACACCCTATCACTCTACCTGCACAAGGTAGGGGTAAGGGTGCGTACATACTACCCTCCCCAGACCCCCACTTGTGCGATTATACGGGGTATGTTGTTGTTGTTAGAAACGCCCCATCACAATTCTTGCCATAAATTGTTCAAGGAGTAGCAGGGAGCTTGTACTACAAACAACATCAAGGATTCGTTCTCTTTCCATAAGAACTATGAGGTCTTTGGTTCAACTCCCAGCGGAGACAAAAGAAAACTAGGTGATTTCTTCCTATCTCTTGAGCTTAAATAAAGTGAGGGTTCATATAGCCGATCCCAACTTGTTTGGGACTGTGGCGTGGTTGTTGTTGATTTCTTCCCATCTGCCGAAGTGTTGGTGGATAGAGTTTTCCGATACCTGTGCTGCTGGGAGGTTGTAGGTATACGGTGGAATTAGTCGATGCGCATGCAAGCTGGTCCAGACGTCACCCTCATAAAAAAAGAAGCAGCAGGTAGCACAAGATTGCCATTATGGTTGAGAAATGACCAGTAGAAAACCAGGCTGGTGGACTCTTCTTTAGAAACTTTTGTATTGGCATGGATTTCAGTTCTGGCATTGACTAGTGCTGTGGTGCATATATGAGGTGCAGATAATAGAATTTTCTATGGAAAACTTGAGATACTTTAAAAGTTCAGCAAATTTGGATAACACATGAAAGAACATTTTACAGACCTTAAGGAATCAGTTAATGCATGAGGAGCAGTTCTTGAAGCAGTAGAAGCACTTTAATGGTCCTGGCCCTGGGGCATAATACTTTCCATATCTTTTTCTCTGGACTAACACTTTCAAAGGAGGCATAAACACAAAGAAGTCAGGGCACTGAAAACAGAAACACTCAATTGCGAAGAAAACTCCTATGGTTCCCAAAATAATAATTTTCTCGACGCATAAGCATTATTTAGATGGCCTTGTAGATTGTAATTTCTCAGATATAAAGTTTTAGGGAAAAAAGAAAAAGAGCAAGGAGCTGGCAAGCAAATTTCAAGAGGAAATGCGACTCTGAAAACTATATGTGGGTAGTATTAATTTTTACGTTTATGTTTATCTTAATTTGATATGAAGACGGTTCTTTTATGCCGTAATTCATATCTATAGTGGAACTAAAGAATATTTACATATGTATTCAGGATGAAAAAACCCCAAGCGATAAGTAGAATTGACATGTATAAGTTATAACATAGTTCTTAGGAAAAAGGCCATTTTTTCACTCCCCTAATTCTTAGTTTATCAATTTGGTTTCAAAGTTCTAGCCATATTTTAAAGGAAAAATGACATTGTATAGCCGCTCTCAAAATAATAGTCGAATTTTTTTTTTTTTTTT